GGCTAGGGTCTGGAACCAGCTTCCAAGTGAGGTGGTGCAGGCTCCCACCCTGGGGGTTTTTAAGAGGAGGTTGGATGACCACCTTACTGGGGTCGTTTGACCCCAGTACTCTTTCCTGCCATGGCAGGGGGTCGGACTAGATGATCTACCCAGGTCCCTTCCAACCCTAGAAGGTATGAAACACTTGCTTAATGTGAGAGTTTTTAAAAGTTTACATACCTTTTAAAATCAATATTAACATTTGTGTTGCACATTATATTAAATTCCAGTGACACACAGGTTATAAAGGAACACCAAGTGGTTAATAGTGTTAATTACTCAATCATCCTATAAATATTCCTATACATGGCCAGCAGATCAATAGACTTCTTATAGCCATAGAGAAGAGCCATTTATGACACCTTCTACCAAGTGACCTAAAACCAACTATATGCAATGTCTGTAACAGGCTTAGAGCATCTATTATTAATTTATTAGTCTTTGATAAGTTATACCTAGACTTTTAATTCTAAAATTCAACCAATACTGATTTTGATATTGCCCAGAGACACCAATCCATTGCAATCAGATAGGAGATTCCTCAGAACTCCTTATATGTGTTAGAGAAGCCTCATAACGTCCAGGTGAGAAAGTCCACAGAAATGGAAGCTGGGGCATAGAAGACTTCTTCAGGGTCACAGATCAACTCTGCAACAGGCTGCAGCCTCTCAGGAACGCTTTCTACCTTTGTAGCTCCTGTATTTTAGACTCCATCTTAAATCTGAAGTATTAATATTACTGGCCTCTGCCTCTGGCAGCAAGCATAAAGCAACAATATATTTCTCCCCTTCCCCAAGTACATTAGACAATAAGCTAATTTCCTACAGTTGACTTCAGAGCATACATTGGCTGGAAAAGTAAGTGTAAAACTAACTGGAGTAAAGATGTAATTTAGGAGGTTTGTAATGTATTTTTGGGTATCCCTCTGGATAAAAGTTACTACATAAACATCGCATAACCAGCAGAATAATTAATAGAGAACCATAACAATAGCTAATGGTTGGTGTTTATATCCATAAATACTTGCTAGGACGTATGTGCTGGAGCAGTGCTCACTGCAACCTTGTAACATCTTTCATACAATTAAGATTCTGTAGCACGAGTGCAATTCTCACTAGTCACGTTTCGTATGCCATTCCACACTCCCCTGCTTTTCCATTAATGTGATCCCAAAACTTAAATTATTCCTTCCTGGGTACTCAGGAACATACAGAGCCCCCTAGCTCATCTGACTTACAGTACCTCCACTTGTTGTATTGCATCCTCTGTGTCTCCTATCTCAGACGTAGAGAATGATGGGTAGTTGGAGTCAGACTCGAGACTGCTCTGATTAGAGGGGTTCCTTCTGTGCCCTGGGGTTTGCTGTTGAAAGGGAGATCATGTAAGTGAATTAATACCACCGTAAAGACACTGTAGTCAAGGTAGGCAAACTGTTTGAGCTGGGGACCTTGTCTGTTAGGTATTCTGGAAATTATCAAGTACACATGTGATACTTTATACCTAGTACACTCAAGGCATTTTTTTGTGATAATATTTATGTTCATAATTATAGTAAAATAAAATCAACAAAAATAAATTGTAAGCCAATAAGTAAAATACAATAAGAAAGCAAAACTAAAGTATTGCAGCATCCAGGGTATTTAATGAGCCAAAGCACTGTGCTCAGGATTGTACAGGACACATAAGAGACTGGTTCTTCCCCAAAAGCTCCACAAAACAATGCAGACACACAGTGCTGAAAACAAGGATTCCTCATGAAGCAGCGTGTTGTAAAAGTAAATATCATGTTTTTAACATAAAGTTTACTTTTCAACAAGGGTTTACTTTTAGTCTTCTTTGGCACTACTGCTTGTGCAGACATTACCAGAGGGCAACGTTGAGTCAAAACACAAAATTAAGATGCCCCCACAAATTTCTTGCACTTATCCAACATTTTTAAAAGCATTTCTAAACACTAGATGCCTGGGAAATTTGACCAGGGAAATCTGAATTTTGAGCTGAATTCTTTTTGCAGCTCCCCCTGGGTTTTCTTTCAAATGTTTGGCCCCCAAACCAGTTGGCAGTGTCCTTTAATTATTCATATTTAGTTTTCAATGAAGCTATTACTAAAAATTCAGCAGAACCAGTCAGATCTAACACGCACTCACATTTTTATATTTATGAAACCAAAATGGTTTTTGTTGAACTGAATGCCATGATGTGCCCATGTCACTTAACCGAAGAAAATGGAAACAATTTCTACTAAGATTTGCTTATTATTTCAAGATAAATCTTAATTAAAGTAACTACAGAAAGTTACACATTTCCTGAAAAAGTTTCCCCACACTAATTTCAATGCAGAAGTTCACTCACATAATCATCAACACAAACCAATTGGGTAATAATGCCATTGTCACCAAGTGTTTTGTGGAATGAACTGTACCACATTATCACGAATAGAAGACGGAAGCACAGAGATAGTTTAAAAAGGCTCTTCCATTACCTTTATAATAGTCATCTCATCCCTCAAATTGTCATATCTCTGCTCCAGCCTCGAAAACTCCTTTACCAGGTTTTGATAACGAGATCTTTCCTCTTCTAGCTCCTTCTTCAACAGATTTTCCTCAACAGTGTTGCGCGCAATTTCATCTTTAAAAGATATATTCAAAATGGAAAATCATGGTTCAATGAGCATTTCCCTGTAGGTAGCTGCAAAAGCATTGATGGGCAAATGCACATCTGTTAAGTGACTTCCCATAGCATCCCAAGGTAATGCCAAATGACTATATTGCAACTGGTCTGTGGCAATTTCCTATACGAGATGGCCGTTTGGAGCAGCAGTCTTGCTTTTAGGAGAAAAGGCCTCTGCTACCATTTGAAATACAGAAGGTTCTCCCTTAGCTACTAGTAATAAGCAGGGATCTGGGTTTTCCGTTTCCCATGGAAAAGCTGAGAAACGCAGATTCCCCCCCTTACTGGAGTACAACGCAGATTTCTCATTTTAGCAGAGAAACATGCCCCCTCAGATCTGTATGCGGGGCGGGGGCAGGCTGCCCACTGCAGGCTCGGGCTCCCATCCTGCTGCCCTCCTCCAGGGCCTCTGCAGCCCAGCAGGTGCAACCCAGTACTGCAGGGCTGCAGGGCACAGTGCACAGGACAGTGCACAGGACACCCAGGGCACAGTGAGGCTGCACAGGAAAGTTGCCTGCTGCTATGCACTCTGCACTGCCCTGGTGATGCATCCCCTGCCATCACAGCATGAACAGCACAGGATTGTGCCCCTCACTGCTGCTGCACAGGCAGGGGATGTGCCACTAGGGCAGTGCAGAGCTTGCAGCAGCAGGCAGCTTTCCTGCGAGGCCACAGCCTGGCAGGTGCAACCCAGCAGAAGCGGGGAGGCCCCAAGGAGGGAAGCAGGATGGGAGCCCAACTTGCAGCAGGCAGCATGCACCCGCCCTGCACACAGATTTGGGGGGGTGGAGGTCCCCCCAGGATTGGGCACAGCAACATGGAGCCACTCCCCCCACCTGAGCCCATGGCTGGCAGGCAGCAGGTGGGGGAGCTGGCTTGGTGCTCTGCTCCGCTGCAGCAGTCACCGGCTCCTACAAGGGGCAGGGGGCTGAGGACCCAGGTCCCTGGCTCCAGAGTCCTGGTTGCTCAGGGCTGCCTCTGGCAGAGCTGGGGGAGCAAGGGAAGGTGTACAGCGCACACCCTGGAGTGGCCCTGGAGTGTGCACACCAGCTCCAGCTTCACTCTGTATACAGTATGTGCCTGCTCCAGCCCTGTATGTGGCGTGTGGGGGTGGTTTGGTGTCTGCACTGTGTGACACTGGTTGGTTGGGGATGTACGCTGCACGTGGCATTCATGCCAGACCAGCCTGGCACACTGGATCCAGCACATGGGTCTAGTTTATGGACCCAATCTGGACTAGCCATAGATCCGGCATGAAGGGCTGCTCTGGCATGAATGTCATATGTAGCACATGACCCAGACCAGTCCTGTGTGCAGTGTGTAGTGTATGTTGGCATGGCACACAGGGCCAGTCCAGGATGTCCACTGCATACGGAGTCCGCATGACAGGCACAGTACAGACCTATCTGGATCCAGTACAGGGGACCCATCTGTGAGCTTGATCCAAACCAGCCCTGGATCCAGTGTGCTGGGCTGGTCCAGCGTGGGCACCACATGCAGTGTATACCCCAAACCAGCCCCGCACCACGTGCAGCTCATGCCAGACACCGTTGGTGTCAACCCAGCTTACGATTGCATGGAAATGCCCCTCATTCATTCATGCTGGTATCAGCAAAATAGGGTACTTCATGACGCTGTAGTTGATTAAGGCAGAAAAGTAACTGAAGTCAAGTTGATGGGAGGGAGAATCCCTAGATTTCAAATATAGGCCGTGTGACTCTAAACACAGACTTGGTAGTCCAGGGGTACATGAGATGTTTACTGTAGAACAGGCTAATTAGCTCCACAGTAGACACTGCACGTCTACACGTGCAGTCCTATTAGGCCGCAGGAAACTAAAAAACTCCACAGCTGCGGAGTTTTTTTTTGTTTTGTTTTTGTTTTTTGTTGTTGTTTTTGTTTTGTTTTTTTTTGTTTTTTTTGTTTTTTTAACTGCAGCACTGCACATGTAGATGCTGCAGGATTAGCTGGGGCATGAAGGTGCTTCAATGTGGGGGCTGCCTGCTGGCTAGCCCCGCACTGGAGCACTTTCATGCCCCAGCCAGCCCCTCTACAGCACACTGAGACAGGGCAGAGCAGCCCCAGGTTAGCGGGCTGAACCTTGCCAGCCAGGGCTGCTCCAACCTGGCTCAGTGTGCTACAGTCCTGAGTGCATGTGTAAACACAACACCTAAGAGCAATGCACTCTGGTGCAATATGCTCTGGAGTTTATTGCCTCGCCTTAATAGCAGGTGCAGATGTATCCTAGGAGTTTAAATAAGCAGACAGATTGCCAGTACTACTGAATATTTAGCAACTCGCATCTATTTCTTCCAACAAAAACTGCTGGGATCCCAACAGCAGGAAAAAAAAGCAAGCTTCTTTTGGAGTACTTAAATATGAACCTTAACTTCCGGTTTTCAAAACATGGGTGTGTAAGTCCTGGGACAGCTGGCAATCAGGTGCACAGGCAGCAGCCTACAGGGAGGCTTCCACAGAGTCCGTATTATGCCTACTTCTAGCTAGAGCTTTTCAAGAGCTCCAAAGGCACCAAAGCCAAAACCCACAAATATTTCACAAGTCTGCTCTGTGTCCTTGTGTTTTCAACCTATTATATGGAGGGGGCACTTCCAAAATGCAACAAATCAATTAGTCCCACATCCACAGGAGGCATATTACGCCATTTCTATACAAAGGAAATCCTGCATCAGAACAAAAGCTGAAGAGAGTCGGATAAAAGGCAGAAGGCATGCACGAGGGAGTACAGGCCCTTCACAGTCCAGGGACTCCCCCGACTTTTCTCTGTAGGTCTCTCATCTACTGCAGAGGCCTTGAAGTCATTCCCTCACTCCTGACAGCAAGAAAGAGTCCCTTGGCATGGTTCAAATACGAGAGTGTTTGAACATCTGTTTCTAGAACCTTGTTCTACTTGTCGGCATTAGAGAGCTGTCCCCTGCTCCCGCCCTCTCCCCCAGTTCACCCCTGCAATGCAACTGAATGGAAAATCCTTCAGGTACGATATTCCCTGCTTAATCCCTCACGGAGTAAATCAGGTTCTTGTCTTGTTATCCTGCAGTCGGACAGAAAGAACAGAACAACAAATACTGGCAAGGGAGAAGAAGGGGGTAGCACACTGGAAAATTATCACATATCAGGATAGGAGCCATTCCTGAGGCTCAGAGGAAAAACAAGTTGTAGGAAGCATGGTTAAACCCCTGGGTTACTGGAAGAGTTATGAATCCATAAGCCCTTTTTTCTTACCTTCAGACTGACACAGGACTCTGTTGTTAAGCTCCTCTTTTTCCTGTTTCAAAAGAGCATTCTCCTCTTCTAGGTCTGATACACGCTAGGAAAGGAACAATGTAAAGCATTACATTCTGTAACGCAGGCCACCTCCTGGTCAACCTCCCTCCAGGGGGATTACGTTTCACCTGGCCGGAGCTTTTTTTTTTCCCCTCCTTCCCTAAATGAAACCAATCTCTCTCATTGGGCTCTGGAAGCAACTCAAACCAATCCAGAAGCATGAATCGAAACTGGGATTCAACTGCAACTGAAGCACGTTTTTTTCTTCTAAGTAAACTGCCCCCCAAAAAACAGACATGGGAATTAACTAGTTAGTTAGCCATTTCTTTAACTTCTTAACTAGTTAACTTTTAACTTTAACTAGTTAAATTTTTCAGCTGTCAATGTTTAACTTTAACTAGTTAAAAAAGGGTTAATTAATTATTATTATTATTTTTTTTTAGAGTAAAGAAAAGAAAGAAAGAAAATCTGGCTTTCCAAGAGTTTTTCCCCCACTCACAGAGCCGCTCTTTAGGACTTGCATAGAACAATATTTCTTTATTGAAACTCTAGGACTTGTTTGAGAGACAGAATAGTGCACCTTCCTGTGAGAGATGGTCTCTTAAGAACTACAAGTCCCAGAGCTCCTTAGTTCATGCCGACATTTTCTGTGTGTCGCAGAGCACTAGGGTGTCCTGCTCCTTTAAAGGGCTGACCCTGCTAGGGAGAGAGCCCAGCAGTGAGTGGGGAGCCCCAGCAGCTGGTTACCAGGACAGCCAGAATGCGTTAGTTGGCCCACACCTGCCAGCAGTCAGCTGACCAGAAGGGGCAGGGCCTGGCTCTCATATAAACCCCAGGGCAGAGGCCAGGAAGGCAGTTCCCTGCCAGCAGCCAAGGGGGAAGGAGCTCCCCCAGAGGAAGCAAAGGGGAGAGGCCTGACTGCATAGTGCAGCTTCTGGTGCTCTTGAGGGACAGAGCATGCCCTGTGTGGCTTGAATTATGTTATAGCTGGGAGGCTTGATTATGTTATAGCCTTGGGGATTGCAGGTTGATTTCTGTTTATAAAAGACCAATGGTTTGGGTGAGGCTATTTGGGGAAGGAGGCGGCCTCATTGGTGAGCCCACTGCAGCGTGGGGACCCCGGCACCAGAGAGGGCATGGCCTTTGGGGTGCACAGGCACCAGTGAGGTGTGGAGACAGGGCTGCAGAGAGCCCAGCGAGGACAAGGCAGCCAATTCATAGCAAGGCCCAGCCTGGACAATGTCAATGCCATCTGCGAGGTTTGGGGCCTGGTAAAGGGGCAGTTGGAGCCATGCATATAGCCCGTAAGGCTGGGGTGTCCTGTGACATCTATTTTGAAGCAGGACCCACAAGGGGTCCAGGAACCCACAGGGTTCAGAGAGTCCATCAAACCATGTCCAAGAGGACTTAAAAGACGGCCTCTCTATACTATATATCCATCAAGATGTGGCGGGCAAGAACCGAGGGTGCCCAGTGGGCCAAACTGGCATGGTTGAGGGGCCTTAGGGATAACGCAGCCATCCGTAGGGACCCCATCCCGTAATACTGTGCATTTGCAGAAGTCAACAGGGCAGCCAGTTGGCTGCAGAAGAGGCAACAAGCCCAAGCGAGCAGAGACACTGATCCCAGTAAGAGAGGAGCAAGTAGTGAGGGTAAAGCAGATGACTTTTTTTAATGCCAATGAAGATCAGAACCAGCAGCCCAGGGCCCAAGTTGAGCATTACTTCTCATCTGTGACAACTTATCTGAGCTGTCACCTACTATGAAAAAACTATTCATCTGGTATAACACAAGCATCCCCTCATCTGCCCATGTAGAGCGACTGTTCAGTAGCGGGGGCTTAGTTTTGCAAGACAGAAGAGGAAAATCGTCAGATGTAAATTTTGAAATGCAGCTTTTGCTGCATTTCAGTAAGCAGGTTTAAACAGTTTCTGCTATGCAACTGAATCTTCTTTTTCTCACTTAAACTGATTTTCTCATTTCAATCTAATTTTGATTTTCACACACTCTCATTGTTTCTAATTCAGATGCATTTCATACCCTTTTGTTACCTTTTGAGCAATAA